TTCCCAACCTGGCTTGCGTGCTGGTAACATTGTAACCACATTGTTATCAATTCAGGCATATCACAAAGGATGGCGAATTGTGATATGTGACTACTGCTCTGAATCACGTTCGAAAATCTCCTGGCGTTGCCACGAAGGGGACGGAAAAAAACTGCATGAGAACTCATTTCAGTTACCTGGGATGGACTCTCTGCTAAATTGTATTTATCTCCTGTAATGAAAGATAATTTCGAATACAACCTAAGTATCATCTTAGTGAATCAGTGTAGTGGAACGAATAGTGGAGCGAGAAGAACATGACGAAACATGCTTGTAAAATGTACGCAGACCGTCAGCTCACAGGCTGACGACTTTCTTCGTATCGCACAGAACCGGTTTGAAGAAGAAAGATGACGCTGTCACCGCCTATTCGGTCTTCGCCTGCTTCCGCCTATTTGTTGCCGCGGTTGCATGACTATGCTATCAGAAAGTAGCCGTCGACGAAAGTTTTCATGAAATAAGTGACCACAGATCCTCTCAAATATAAAGTAAATGAGATGGAAACCAAAGCCACCAGCAGACTGAAGAAATATGGAGTAATGGATTCATTTCTATTTATGGAACAGCATGTTGCTTGTAAGTCAGATCCGCATCATGAAGGGAATTTCAGTCGAATCAAGATGTATCATTATTGACAGTCTGCAGACTGCCTGGCTCACACACTTTTAGTATATATTAAAACGGTGGACAGTGTTGAAGGCGCGCTCTGATTGACTATCCTTTGCAATTTGTGGGATTTGGGATTTGCGCACGAAAATAGTGTAATCGTTACTGAAATAAATGAGTTAAAATCACATTCATGTGCGATATTATCTCACTGTTTTAGCATTTATAATATAAAACAACTTTTCACCTCAGTGTCCTTGGTCAGTGGTGGATATTTACCGAGCCGCGAGGCGGCGAGGCAAATATCGACCACTAGTTACTGAATAATTACTAAATATAATCTTGGCTATATTTTTGGGAGTCGATTTATGTGTGCGACTTGGTTACCTTATAGAATTATTTTCAGAAGTCCACGATGCTGCAGCGAGAATATCTACGCTTGCAAACATATTAAAGCAGGTTTCTGTAATCTACACTGTCCAGCAGCAGAACTGAGGAAACCGTACAAGGAATTAATATTAACTTATAAACTGACTAAATAGCCTGTAGCTCCCATTGCCTATTGACATCTTTAAACCTGCTAAACGTAATCTTTGCTCATCCGGTTCTAAAGAGTTAGAAAGGAAAGTTTGTTCTATCTTTATCCAATTTTACGGAGCAAACTCTATCCACCTTTTCAACGAATGTTGAAAGAATTATTGAAGTAGTGGTTAATTTTACTCATGAGAATGTATAATACATATAACTTGTATCCTCTCATCAATATTCACGTAGCTTGAAGAGCAACGTTTTTTAATAATTATGTTAAAAAGGAATCTATCTGTAAAGCAAGAATTTACATTTAAAAGTAACTTTCATTAACATTTGTGACGCACTACTCGCCGGTTTCATTCAAAACGGCGCTTTTAGATACCTTTTGGGGTAACACTAAAAACATGCACCTTCAACTGACCCAGCCACCATAGGAAAAAAACTTTCCTCGTGTGAGGGGTCTACTGATGGTCCATAAAATTTATAGTTTGAAAACCAATTGACTGCTGCACGTCGAATATCCACGGTAGTAATATTCAGTGCCTCATCTTATTCAACTATTCGTCATTTTATTCAACGTCAGTCCAACTTACATTCAACTATTCAACCAATTTTTAATTTCATTTCAACTCATTATCCAAGTATTCAATCTTATTCAAGCCCAATTTAAACTCTCTTTCAAATGTTCAACTCATATTCAACTAAAATTCGACAACCTGTCGCTAAACGTATCAACCCTTATTCATCCTCGTTAGACAATTCTGCATTCAATATTAAGGGAAACAAGTAGAGACGCTTACCGACTTCTTTTTATTGTTGCGGGCGAGATTTTTTATGCTTTTCTCTGAGACATCAGAGATTTTAATTGGGAGCCGTACAAAATAGTTGTCAAAAGGAAAACCCTCATCTAGGCTTTCCTCCAGAGTTGAATAGCAATGTAAAAGTTTTAAATAATGTTAAACAGGGGCTAAATGAAACGGATATACGGACTTAAATATTGCTTCAATTGACTTACCATACATGACCGTTAAAAGTTCCAAAAAATTGACTTATATTACGTAACAGTGGATCCCTAAAATGGGCGGTAAGACTGCACTCCTTGCTTTCGTTTTAGACAATTGAATTAAAAAGACTAAACGCTGACGCCACGGCAGGGGCTTTTTGAATTACGAGTTCGCCGTCGAATCCGATGAACCCTTTTTCAACCGGTGTCGCAATTGAAAGAAACATTGCGGAATGGGATATCACGAGCGAAATTGGACCGAATGAAAAGGGGTTTCCGGAAACGATCACTTCTCCAACAACAGGCAGTAGTTTTGAAGGTAAAACCGATCGACTGGAAACGGCCGGAAGTGGACCGCAGAGGTCATGCGTTCAAATCCCCAACGGGCCTGAATTTTTTTCAGGTCTCATTTCAACTACTAGTTCGTAGTGTTCATAGCTGCGAGGATCGCTTATATCTCATTTCTTCACCGCAGTACACATATGTGATTTTCATGTATTTCCAGTCATTATTCACTGGCTGGAAGTGATTTAAATTTTTTCGGTTAAATGGGAACTTGTGTCATAGCACTTGCAGGTGCTGTGATTTTCCTTCGAACTCGCTATATTTTGTTTGATCTATTGTCATTTACTGTGATCACAACCACCGATCTCAGTACCTTCATCCCTGACCCTTTATTCAGGCCCCAAAATCAGAGATTCAAGAGGCGAGGTTCGAACACAAAGATATTTTGAGTTCAACAAAAATCAATTCATGTGTATTTCATAAAGTGACTTTGATCCTCCCAAAATAAATAATCTCACTCTAACTGCTTTTGCTGTACTTTATTAATCTCTCTATTCCATTATGAAACAGAACTCAACTAAGCCAAGGGGAAACGAGATGTTGTGGCAAGCCTACGATGACTCTTCATTTACCCAGTGATTCGGCAAAAAACAGTCATCACCGTGTGGATTGTAATTATGACTTTTTCCGCGTTTTTGAAAAATAATTGGAAAACGTACAAATTATCAAGGCATTTGGTGAGGGAATTTAAAGAAGGCTTCACGTTGATTATTACTCTTAGTGTACTCTCGCCCTGGAGATATGGGACCATCTGCGTTGGAGAGTTTCTATACCCAAGAGTATGGGAGCATCTGTGCTCGAGAGTTTTTGTATTGGAGTAGAAAGTTAAAGACATAAGATATCTTAGCTAGGTTTTGGCGAAGAGTTTATCTGTTTTATTTTGTTTGCGGAAACATCAGTAAAAAAAATTAAAAAATAAACAAAAGAGAAAAAAAAAAAAGGAAGAAGGAAAGAGAGAAAGAAGGTAAACAAAGTAAAAACAAACAAACGAAAAAACATGGAATCATGGCCCCATTCCTCATTTACGCCGAGCGATTAAATCAAAGAGGATATGATGTGCATGTGATGATCAGAAGTTCAGTTGTGTAAGCACTTCACCTTGAACCGAGATAAGGATTACCCCTTCTACTAAACAGAGACACTGGAAATTTCATCAGTCTGGAATCAGTCGGGAACCTAATAACTTTTTCTTACTACTTAAATACGACACAGATTCTAGTATTACAATTAACACAACCCGCGTACAGCTTGGGCTAATCTTGGCATATATACATTAGTTATGCTCGAAATTCACAATGTAGCTGTAGAGCTAATATCTTCGAGAAAATAAGCTAAAATAAAATAAAATAGGCTATATTACAATTCCAGTATTATTTATAAACTATATACAACATTATGCGTGCAGAGGGAAATATAACTTGTAGATCTATTGTGGAAAAGCTTCATATCTGAGGATCTCCTGCTTGAATTCTTGAAAATTTAATGTTTTGTAAGCATGCCTTATTCAATCGTTACGATTCACGATAGTGTTGGGTTTGCAACTGAACTCGAATGTTTTTTATTATGTCCAGCGATACTTCGTAGACAGCCCAAAGTGAAGATCTTTTTGCAAGTCCCCGAAAAACATTTGTGACCCCCAAACACATCACGTACTTGTACAAGTAGCGTCCGCAAAATGTCACGCACATCATACCTTTGTCACACCTGACAGTTACTTTCCGCGTGCTTCTCACTATATCACTATACGTGGACCACTAAAGGTCGAATTAAGACATCGCATTCACTATGTGAATATAAGCAAGCTAATTTTCCCTATTATTGAAAACTCCTTGATGTTTAATCTAAAACTAGGATGTGACATTTTTTTTGTTTCGTTATTGTTGTTTAGGTCCTTCTTTCTTAAGGACATCTCGTGTCTACTTACACGGACACACTTGGTCATATGACCCTAAAAGCCACAGTTTCTCGCACGTGCTTCTTTTGTGTGTTTTCCAAATTTTTTTTTAACTGTCTTCTTTGGCACAGAATTTAAATGTATCGTTGTCTTAGGTTTTCCATGTAGTTGTCCTTTAAATTTATTTGACATTTAACCTGACCTTATAGAGCGGAACCACTTTCGCGATTCGTAAGTGAATGAAATATTATTGTCACAACGCAACACCTGACGAAGTCTGCTATTGTCAGACGAAACACGTGGAAGATAAAACAAGTTTGTTCAATTTCAATTCGTGCAGTGCTGCTCACTAGTTTGTCATTCTAAAAAGGGTAATGGGCTCCTGGTCTGGAATCAGTCAGGGACCTCATTACAATTACTTACCACATGATTACAACCCAGATTGTTCTATTTCAATTTACGCTTGAATTTACACAACCCGTGTAGAGCATGGGCTGATCTTGGCATGTCTGGCGTGACATCACTCAAAGGTTAAATATAGGTGAGGACGTATTTACACAAATATTCTCATTCGTCGCCCACATGCCATTATTTAGCTGACCTCAACTAAAACGATTAAACCGTTCGCTGGCCGCATTGAAGTAAGAGCGTTGCTCTTTCAAAATCCATAAAAGAGAAATTTATTGTTGTCTGTTGGTGTTAACCGCTCAGTTGCGATGGATGTTGAGTTGGGAAACAAACCCGGCGACAGCCATGATGGTGGAAAGGATCTAAATGGTACGAAGCTGAAGATATCCGTCGTTGAGAGGATTGTTACACCGCCGCCGAAAGAAAAGGAAGCTATGGGCGCTGCTGACGACACTGCTCTCGAAAGCGACGACAAGAGGTAAAAAATATGATCGTACCTTGATACTTATTGTACATATCAAGATCTTAATTTTATTTCGTAAATGCACCAACAACAATAAAGGCGACTCAGTTTTTCATTTGATTTGATTGAAATAAAAAAGAAAAAAACCTTTCCTGGCATGGCTATTTGACAAAAGGCCTTTTGCTCCCTCATCGCTCTGTATATGGGAAAATGAAGGTGAATACTGAAGGGAGAATCGAATGAACAAGATGGATTTCGGCTTGAAGTAATAGTGGCAAGAAGTGTTGACAGACAGGCCACGTCTCCACCCTACGAATACTAATACTAGTACTTTGGCACTTGCAGTTCTGCTCTTGTGATTTGGAAATATCTCAGGCAGTTTCCTCTTCCTTAGACCGTAAGGCTTATAAATTTCTCCACATGAAGGCTAACTTTCACTGAAAAGCCACAGTTTCATTAATATTTCCTTTAAATTCAATATTGATGGGTGATATTGCGTGACAAGAGGTTCTTCAATTCGAAATGTCACCTCTGAGAATAATTTATATTCACTTCGCATGTTCATTGTACGCCGATTACGCTGATTTGGAGCAAGATTAATGGTGGTGAAGATCCAAAGTTTTGCTTTCCCATCTAAAGTAAACGATCCTCCGCAAATACGTAACCATGCATATGTTTATTATTTACGGAGTTGTATTGCTATACTCTGTAAAGGGTGGTATTCTTAACCTAAAAATCTGAACAAGTTTTGAATTAACAAACTTACCTCGCTTCTGAGTTTGCTCCTCCGCTTCCTTTGCGTTTCTTAAAGCAATCTGCGGTCGTTAAGCTCGTCCTTGGTGCCTTTGTTTGTTCTCCAGTAAATCCTTCGAATAAAGACAGAATCGATTAAATATTAGGCAAAGACGAGCCAAACGGCTGTAAATCAGTCAAGAAAACACACGAGTTGCAAACGAACAAACACAAAGACAGAAGGGTTGTAAATTTGTTTTGACTCAAAACAAGTTTAGAATTTCCAAGTTACAGATGCGATCGTTCATTCCCATACTAATTCTCATATTTCGCCTCTTAACTTAGAATAAACATAGTTACGTATTTACAATCTAGTAATGTGCGAGCCTTGTCGACGTGTGGTCTCATTGGTTAGATCTTTCTCTCTGGTGGTGTTAAAGTAGTTTTCTCTCTTAAGGCTAAGTTGTGATAGCTCCAAAGTTCGTTTTTTTTTCCATACGAGGAAAGCGATGAGTAGAGCGATGAGAGTCGAGGACTTGGTAGGAGCATTCACCTCTCAAAACTGCCAAGCGATGTTTAGTCTCAATCATGGTTTTGCCAAACGTCTGTTATGCTTCTAGCAGCCCTCATTCTGGTTTAGTCCGCCACGCGAGGTATGAGACTGAAATACTGGGAGCCTGAGTTTCTCCCGCGCACTTTACTCAGTGCTAATGCTCGGCCTCCCAATTTTTTAGCTCCTCTGATTTCTCTTTGACCTGCGTGGTGGGGTGGAAAGGAGAGACTGCTCATAGTCTAATAACTTCATTATCCACTTTTATTGTCCGGTAAATATATTCACCTTATATGCTAAAAACGATGCCGCAACATTAAAAAACCATAAAGTTGCTTGAGATTAGACCTGCTCACTCTATAAATCTTGATATCAGCTCTCTCGATTCTTTATTCGTACTTTCCCAAGACTAAACTCTGAGAATTCATTTTTAAAAAATAAAATGATTTATTTATTGCTCACTTTTGGGAGGGGAAAGCTTATACATGTACTAACCAAGCAATTCTTTTGCAAAATATACTGATTATAGATTGTTCCAACGAGGAATAGTGCTGGTCTCGTTACCTAAGGGTGTTAAGGGTGTTCTTGAAACGCTTATTATCTCTTAAGCAAGTGTAGCGTGACTTTTCGTCGCTGTATTTAAACGGAAAGGTGACGTGAATTAATAATCCAGTGTATGTAGGATTTTATTTCAGCAGATTAATCATTATCCATCTTTCATTACTTTCGACTCGTGCCTAGTTAAAAAGTCATAAGCAGTACCTTCAAAATGCATAAAAAATCATGAATAATTGTTAGATGTAAAACTCTAACACTTGTTGTCTTGTTGTCTCTTTCTTTATTCTCTCTTACTGCACAAGTTATTACAACGGGGACTAGCTCTGATCTCTGGAGGAAAGTGTGGGTCACCGTTTACAAAGGTGACACTTACTGAGCTGTCAATCTCTAACCTTCGTCATGTTTTTACACTTAAATAGCGAATCACGTTGGGCTACGGAAAACGGTGTTCGCAGAGTAGATACCTTCGCGATACCTTCGCGATGTTTACGCTTTACGAAATGTCTCTCTGGCTTAAATTTCTTGGTCTTACAGTCAAGTTTGGGCAAAACGAAAACAAGATTGACAATATAAAAATTATAATAAACTTAGTAACAGAATTAAAATCATACTTGAAAAGGTATCCTAAAATAAAATTGTCCTTGAAGGCTGTTGCATAACAGCAGAATAAACACAAAATTCGCCACTAAAAGAGCTACGTGCTAGTCGTATAAGTTATCTAATTATAAATTCAGTGCGGAAGATGAAAAGTACTGCATGTTTACACCTTAAGTCACCTCTAAGAAATAAAAATTGACAACTATTCTCCTAATCGGGAATTCGATATGGATTCAGCCTAAAAGCGAGAGTAAATGGATAAAAGTATGAAGGAGAATTATTTCCAGGAAATTCCTGTACGGGATCAATTTTTATAGGGTAGAGTCATTTTCTTAGTCATTAATTATTTTTTCAGCAACATAATGAAAATATACCGGTATCTAGCCGCAAACCGCAGTTTACGCAAAAATGTCTCCATGTCAATTTCACGATCACAATAAAGAAAAGGTGGCCAAACTCTGTCTGTAAGGTAAGACTGCTAAAAGGAATAAGAAATGATCGACTGGCTTATTACTATGTTTACTGAATGGCTTATGGAAATATGTTATTTCCATTCATTTTCCAACACCAATATAGGGAACCCTTACAATGTTTTAAGGTTAGATATATTTCTATTTTTATCGTTTAACATGATTTATGCTTCCTCCTACAGCTTTGAATTGTGTTTACCTGTAAATACGCATTTGCATGTGTACCTTTTTAATAGAAGAGCCAAAAATTGAAATTATATTGATTATATGATTGTATTTTATGCAGCAGTGATGAAAAGAAAGAAAAGGAAACCAAAAAAGAAGAGAGCCAACCAACAGTACCATTAGGCCAACTGGTAAGTTGTGAAACTCCATATCGGTAACAAGAGATGTTAGTCATTCCTATTTAGCTAGAATCAAACCAAAACAATCATAGTATAGGAAAACGTGAAGATGTAAACGACGACTCCTGCGCACATAATCAGCGGTAATTCACTGAAACAGTGGTTGAGAGGAAGAACTGAAGAGCTTAGCATAAACTAGCAGCTTTTAGCATCAATTTCCACAACAATGATGGGCTTCTTCAGAGGTTTTTCAAGAGGCGATAATTGAGGGACTAATCAGTGATATATATAAACAAGTCTTCGATTACTGTTCGGCGCATTTCTTTGAATGATTCTCCAAAATAATGGTGATTTTTCCCTTTTTTTTTTGCAGTTTCGTTTCAGCGATAAGTTAGATGTCCTGCTCATGATACTTGGAACTTTATCTGCTATGGGCCTTGGTGCCACCTTTCCACTCCAGTTTATCATCTTTGGGGATCTTATCAACACCTTCATCGATTATACTAAATATCAATCACCAAATAATACGCAGCCATTTGATCTCGATAAAGAGATGACGAAGTTTGCGTTGTACTATGTTTACATCTCTGTTGGAACTTTGATTGTGGCTTATGGTCACATGGGATTGTGGTCACTTACTGCCACACGCCAAGTGAATAAAATGCGCTTGGCCTTCTTTAAATCTGTTTTGAGACAAGACATTGGTTGGTTTGATACAACTGATTCAGGAGAACTAAACACTCGTCTCAATGAGTGAGTATTTAATTGTTAATCAGAGACAACTTCTTCATTCAGTGTTCAAGGTTTTTAAGGCGTGATCTTTTTTGTCTATCATCTGAGACCGTGGTACACATTGCGCAATACTGATTCGAGGATGGGTACATTTTTAAGAAAGCGAGTGGCAAGCCCTTTTTCAAAATTAGAGAACTCCTTATTCCTTTGAATGAGAAATGTGGGATTTATAGCCAGGAATCATGATTTAGATTTTTGCATGCTGACTTGGTTGGTTATCAGAATGGATGCATTCAAAGTGGGAAGCTCGTCGTTAGCGTATTCACAATTTGGAATTAACAAACAATATAATTCAGCAAATGCATCGTTATAAAGTTTGAAGCTCCGATACTTGATTGAATTCTTTATTTCCTCTTCGTTGTGCTTATTGTTGTTTTATTTGTGGTTTTATTTTTGCGTTCCTCAGAGCAATGCTATCGTATTCTTCACTTCCCTCCCTCCAAGGTATTATTAATATTTAAACGCTGAGACATTGTGTTTACTGAAACTGATTAGATGTCCTTATTACTGCCCGTAGAGATCTGAACAAAGTGGATGATGGTATTGGTCATAAGATTGGCTTGTTCATTCAAGCCATAACGACCGTGATTATAGGGTTTGTGATGGGATTTGCGTATGGTTGGAAGCTTACCCTCGTTATCATCGCTGTGAGTCCGCTGCTTGTCATTGCTGGCGCCTTGATAGGAAAGGTAATCAATCATCTAGACGTGCGGTTTGCCATTTTCCTCACAGCAGAGCTCGTATAGTTATACGGCGCGTATCGTCGTGTTAGTGATACAATCACCAGCCGGAAACATTTTTAAAAACAAATAGTTAGTCTATGGGAAGGGAGTACTTCCTATACATGGGTGAAATACAAGAGGATTTAACGTCTAAGTATTTTCCTTTTCCTCAAGGAAACTCTATCATACCGAAGCGTGAATCGGGTAAAAAGAGAGAAGCCGTGAGTTGTGTCCAATCTCGGTAAATGGCTTCCTCCTTGGCTTGAAGTAGGCTGCAAAAGAATTATGAAGAGTTTGATTGCAACCAACAACTTTTGTGTTCTTTAATGTTAGACATTAATACTATCTTATCCCAGCAGCTTGAAATGCATATGAATGAATCCCAAACGTTGAAATACCACCTTAAAGTGTCTGTTAACCTAGGATCATCAATGATCAACATCGGATCTGTTTGTCTTATTTTCTCATCGATGAAATGTCTCTGTTATGATTACTAAAAAAATTTGTATTGAAGCTGCCTTGAGCAACCTTTATAATGTTGCAGGTAATGACTGCCATGACAACCAAAGGTCTTAATTCCTACGCTAAAGCTGGTAGCGTAGCAGAAGAAGTGCTTTCATCAATCAGAACTGTGGTTGCATTCGGAGGAGAAAAGAAAGAAATTGAGAGGTAAACCAAGAATGTGTATAAGATTTCACCACCCACTATACCTCAATAACGTATTACTCTGGGGATAGGGGTGTTAGAAGCGTGCCTGGGATTTCTCATGGGGGGTGGCACGGTAACGAATTTCAGCGCCTTTTACCTGGAGTTACTTATATCGCCGCTCTTTCATGTGTATCAACGGGCTCGAATTAACGCAGTGAGAAATGTGTCACATAGCTGATCACGTGAAGTCAGTTGTTTAGCAGCCCCCAAGCAGGCCACATTTTCTGATTGAAACGATCTCATCCCTGACTAATCAAAGTTAAAACTGGTTATAATCGAATAACATTTTTTCAATGAAAATCTGTACAAAAAGATTTAAGATTTAACTCGCGGTGCTTCTTCTGAGTTACATGAAGATCTCTTTTTTGTATCGTAACTGTTACTGTTCGTGATCTTCTACTTTATTTTTGTGTTAAACTTTCCAGGTATTCATCCCTCTTGAAAGAAGCTCGTGACTTTGGAATCAAAAAAGGTTTAATGACTGGACTAGGCATTGGATTTTTTCAACTTGTTATTTACGGAAGTTATGCCTTAGCCTTTTGGTATGTATGGGGCATTTTCTACCTTTTTTATATATACATGTTTTCCTACGTATGTCTACCCACTTTTTCGCGTACCTATTATCTAAAGTATGAACGTATTTATCTGTCAACCCTCCATTAATTCAGGTACTCATCTCACCGTCATTCCTACCTGGCAATAAACTTGTAGCCCTCCAAACAGCCAACCGTATTTCATCAGCTAACGCTTCTTGTACTAAACTTTCTTGTTTGTGCCTATATTCACAGGTATGGCTCAACGTTAATAATTGATGAGAAAATGACGGGAGGACAAATGCTTATTGTAAGAAAATATCGCATTACTTGTTATTTTTTCAAGGAAATTGTTCAGCTTTGCAATTTGTTTTAATTGCATTCTTCAGGTGTTTTTTTCAGTCATGTTTGGGGCCATGCAGTTAGGTCAGGCTGGGCCACACATGGAAGCCATAGCTGCAGCTAGGGGAGCAGCATACAAAGTGTTTTTTATCATTGACAGGGTAAGTAGCAAATTGTTTTTTGTTATTTTAAACAAACTCAGTTTAACTACGGCTGATTACGGCTAATTTTGAGCTGGCACGGAAATCAGCTGTATTTTGATAGGAATCATTTGTCAGTTATTGTACTTAGGCGACTGAAAACTTGAGAGTGCCATGTTAAGTGCATAGCGATTGAGGAGATGTTTAAATTATTTACGCCCAGGTGAACAGCCATTTTGTCATAAATTGTCTGCGACGTTTAATGCTAAACGGAGCCATGGAAATATTTTTTTTCTTGGGAAGGGTATTAAGAGAATAAGTTGGTGTCTACCTATTAAAGAAACTTCCTTATAAAAAAAATGAGTTCACGTAATAATTTGTATAACTTTCCCATCCAAATGGATAATTATCAGTCTAATACGCTTACATCTATTCTTGAAGATCTAAAGTGGGTGTTATTTAGGCGTCTCAACATAAAGTTAATTCATTTCACTTTTTTTCTTTCTCCTAATGTGAGATTCCACCAATTGATTCCAGTTCTACTGATGGATTGCAAATTGATCAAAGTTCCTTAAAGGGAAGGGTAGAGTTAAAAAGCATTGAATTCTGGTATCCTTCAAGACCCGACGTAAAGGTATGTTTCAGTTGTAAAGATGTTAAATGAAAAAGGAGCAGGAGAAATTTGTCCTCTCTCTAGTAGTTTATGTGATAGTTATGATTGTTTAATATTCTGCTCTAGAAACATATGTGCGAAGTATTTTACACCAAACATCAACATTATTGAAATACGAAGACTTAATGTCTTTCAAAGGAAAAAGAAAATCTTGGCCATTTTTTTTTCAGATTTTAAAAAGTTTGACTCTGGTTGTCGAAAGCGGACAGACTGTGGCATTGGTAGGTGAGAGTGGCTGTGGAAAGAGTACAGTAGTTAAGCTTTTACAGAGGTTCTATGACGCAAGTAATGGTGAGGTAAGTTTAAACTTGATACTGATAGAGTATACAGTAAACAAAATCAAATTTCGTCAAGAAAGGGTCCCATGCGTTTTTTTTTTTTTTTAATTAAGCGAATTTTAGATGAAATGTTTCTCTGAACAAACATCTCACTCAACGAATTAAGTTAAGATCCTGATGGGAATCAGATCCCAGTGACTGCTTGCTCGACGTATTTACTCTTCTGTCTTTTAAGGTTTCTGTTGATGGTCATGACGTTCGTTCTCTAAACTTAAAATGGTTGCGTGAGCAAATTGGTGTTGTGAGTCAAGAGCCAGTTCTTTTTGCCACCACAATAGCTGAGAACATCAGGTATGGTAAAGATGGCGTGACACAGGATGACATTGAAAGGGCAACAAAGATGGCGAATGCCCACGACTTTATCAAAGGTCTTCCTCAAGTAAGTAGAGACGTAATTAACTGATGAAATGGCCTTTTCGAAATCTCATACTAATAGAAGGAAAAAAGTCCTGAGCCATTTTCTTCCAGCTTAAAGGCCTAGTGAAATCGAGAAATGCGCGTTAAACTTTTTGGAAAATAATTTAATTATTGCACTGTTTGTCAGGGCTATGATACTCTTGTTGGTGAACGAGGAACTCAACTCAGCGGAGGACAGAAGCAGCGTATTGCCATTGCACGAGCTCTGGTAAAAGATCCAAGGATTTTGTTGTTAGATGAAGCAACATCAGCACTGGACAGTGAAAGTGAATCAATCGTACAAGCTGCTTTGGATAAAGTAAGTAACCAGAAAATAAACGAAACATCATTCACTTGTAAGGGTTTTCCACCACGTAGTCAAGACATTTTGTATAAGATAATAATAATAATAATAAAAAAAAGAAGTGCAACGTCTTGATTGTGAACAAGATAATTAGGGGAAGATGCGAATCCATGCTCCAGAATATATCAATTGTAATATTATGTAGATACTTAGGAGTTATCTTGATGTGATGTTGCCAGTGAAAGCAACATAGTTTCGAGAGGCGTGAAAAAGTCTAGTTTCGTAAAAGCAACTCCGAAACGATTTTTGTTTCTTTCTTTCTGGGGATATATACTCTCTCTCTCATCTCAGTTCCGCCCTGATTGTCTTGTCCATTTCTGTCTTTCATTTTCCTTTGTGACTATTTGTACGTAGTGTTTCTTTAAATGTACATAATTCTGTGTGACTATCGTTACATCTTTCAGGCGCGTCAGGGTCGAACAACCATTGTGATTGCTCATCGTTTGTCAACAGTTCAGAATGCAGATGTTATAGCTGCTATACAGGATGGTGTGGTGGTTGAGAGGGGAAGTCATGATGAACTCATGCAGACTGATGGAGTTTATCGTCAGCTGGTCACATCGCAGGTGTGCAGGATGAACGAGAGTGATGTAATATATTGCGACGTTCTAGTTGTTCTGCGTGGCAGGATGTAACCCACGAACAAAAATTTGTTTGCCAAAACTATGGCGACCAATCCTGGAGCACAACCACAGAATCGCTAGAATTACATTTCCATGTGAATGGAGTCAATTTTATGAAAAACAAACAAAAGTTATTAGAACTTTCTGAATAAGCCCATTTTCTCAATGAGCAACGGTATGAGTTGTTGGAAGAGTACGAGCTTTCATAACAGCGACTCGATTCAATTCATTACCACAGTGTCTTTGGTTATTTTTTTATTCAGTTTTTTATTCACTTTCGCGGTAGACATACAAAAAGGAGGAAAAAGGAGATAATTCTGGTAATGACGATGAAAGTGACAACGAGGAGATAGAGAATAACGATGTGAAAGGTTAGTAACTTGATGTGATTTATTTAAGGCCTTGTCACCACTGCTTAAGTAGTATTCATCACTGCGAAAATCGCTTTTATATTTATGGTGTGATTTTGTTTGTTCCATTATTGTTCACCGTGAAAATGAGAGAGTAATCTTGTAAAAAAATAACTGAGCGAGGTTTACTTGTGAGTAACTGTACTAAACCATAAGTTTTCTTTATCAATCCTAATCTCTTCTCTTTGTCCGGGGTAGAGCTTTGTTAACAATAAATAGATGATGCAACAATATCTCTCTGCATCCACGTTTCACTCAGATCCTTAGTTTAGTTGTTCGAGATATCGATTATTCACTATTGCTCAGATATTTCCTTTTGAATTTCAGTATCGACACCAACAGTGAAATTTACTCGAAGCACTTCCCACATGTCAACTGACAGTAGACATGAAGAGAAGAGAACTTCGGCTTTAGACATTGCAACATCAAACAGGACTAAGGTAGACAACATATACATACTAGACAATCATAATAGGAATGGCTCTTTTCGATTAGGATTGCTTATGACTTGCTGGGAAACTTAAGATCACAAGTTTGCGTTTCAGGTTTAGGTTGGTCTTATTTATCGATGTTCCGTCAAAAACTATTATTTTCTTATCGACCTGACGTCAATGAGGGAGTTTTGCCGCCATAGAGAAGTTTCAAAAGTTGAAGGGAAAAGAAGTGCTGCACTTTGTCAGAGCAATAAGCAGAGCGCGGGAAATCACATCAATTGCTCAGCTAAAAAAAATTCGTTGTCGGCATTGTCGGTTATACCTGTTGTAGCTTATCCAGGCAGTTTAATGACTAGTTTATGGCGTATACTCATTCGAGATTTGAATTTCCTGCTGCAATTGCATTTATTCTCCTACTCACCTTACAGTTTTTTTTTATACGTTGATAACAAGGGTAAAGATGATGAGGAGAAGATTTTAGAGGAAGAAGTTGAACCAGCTCCTGTTCGTCGCATCATGAAGTTGAACACGAAAGAATGGCCTTACCTTCTACCAGGGAGCGTCGCTGCCATTATAAACGGACTATTTCCGTTTGCATTTGCTCTGCTTTTGTCAGAAATTCTTTCCGTAAGTGAATCCATTTTTTTTTTGTTGCAATCAAATCTAAATTCCATCGCCAAGCTTAGCTTTCTCTCCGTGTAAGCGTGCGTCACCCTTCTTAACAGTTTATGAAAGCCTCTTATTTTTAGTTACTTGTACACAGTGATTCTTGGAAAGGTTTTATAACTCTATTAAGCTATAAGTGAGTTCCAGGTTCAAGCTAGAGTCAGTGTCGTCAGACTGTGTGAAGATCGAATTGATGAAACACTAGGCCTCAATCAGCGTGCTGGGCCACATTGTATGGAAATACTCTAATGGTTTTTCTCCTGCCATATTCGTGTCATGCTCAATTTGAACTACTTGTCTCGTGTATTTGTTCTAACAACAGACATGTGCAAACAGTGGAGAAGAAATTATGAACACACAACGGCTTTATTACTTTTTTTTTAGATCTTATCGCATGAACGCGGTGTTGTGATATACCTTTCCAGCAAGCCATAGATGTATACACCATCATGTTTCTGGGTTATTAATTCTCTTTCATTTCAGGTTTTTTCTTTGCGGGACAAAGAGGAAATGGAAAAGAAAGCGGAATTCTGGTCCTTGATGTTCTTTGCTGTTGGTGTGACGAGCTTTTTCTCAAACTTAATCAGTGTAAAGAGGAGTTCCTTTTCTTTAAGCCTTATTCAGCCATTATTCTCCACGTCTTTTTCTGAGTGTGATGTTAGTGAAAACACTAATACAGTGAGCTGAATAATCTGACAAATTTCTCTCTTTAGAGCGCGATGTTTTCCAAGTCTGGAGAACTTATGACTTTACGATTGAGAAAGATGGCTTTTGAAGCGATTCTTAAACAGGTCAGTAAACCGAACTAATAAAGGCCAGGTAGATCTTGACTATACTTGAAATATTTTCTTTCCCTCCTCTTTTTCTCGGTCTACCGGCTCCTTCCTCGTTTATGCTCCTTACTTTCTCCTTAAAGGGTTCTCTTCTCTAAAGCGTGCGCGTACTCAAGAGTACCGAAAATTTGTCGGGTACAAGAGCTATTATCAGTTTCAAGCTCACCTGCCTTGTTATTATTCAACAGGAAATATCGTACTTTGATGATCCGCTGCACAGTACTGGGGCATTGACCACAGCATTGGGGACACATGCCTCGGCTGTTCAAGGGGTAATTCTGTAACATTTATGAATTCCTTTCATTGGTGAACAAGAACAACTTGGCATTGCAGGTAACATGAATACGGACATCAGAGTAGATCACAAAGTATGCTTTTCTGCCTGTCTTTTTGTGCTTTTTTAGGCTGCTGGCAGTCGCCTCGCCATTGTTGTGACATCTCTAAGCACTGCTGTTGCCTGCACCGTGTACGCTTTTTATAATGGCTGGAAGTTGACCCTGGTAGTCCTTTCATTTATTCCTTTTCTCATAATTGCAAATGCAATTCATATGAAAGTAATTTATGCAAGTGGAAAAGGTTCTAAAGATGGCGAAGATGAAAAACTTCAGTCCGGCAAGGTGAGGCCTTATTCATGATAAGAAAATTTTTGCATTAGAAATTGAACCATATCTGTTATGATCATGTCATTGTTTATTGCTAAGTAATTAATTCACCGCTACACTGGCTCTGATCTACAGTGATTATTAATCTTACCATCAAAATAAAATACAGTTTTATCGTTAAGAGATCATGGCGTATGTGTGAGGAACTAAATATAAATCATTTTGGTCAGTCAATAAACTTTTGTCATGGCTTTTATACACTTTACGCCACAGATTGCAGTTGAAACAATACAGAATATTCGTACTGTGACATCTCTCGGTAGAGAAAGCACTTTTTACAGCGATTATGTCAAGGCTTTGATGATTCCATACAAGTAAGTGACAGAGATGATTTGTTGCATCGAACCCCACACTAGTTGTTAGATACAAGGCCACGAGTCAGCCTCTTCTAAGGTCCTTCCGTGGTGCTGCCTGTCACAGCTGATTAGGGAAATTATCGTTGATGAATGAGTTGCCAGTAATCGGTTCTATGTGTTTGCGCAAAGATCTCTGGGATCGCCATGAGGCAAACATTGCAACTCGCCAGAAAGAAATGTGAGGCGAAAGGTTGTTTCGACGTCAAAAAAAACGATTTTGGCTAGAGATCATCGTATTTTGCCGCCGTTTCATCAGAAATGGGTATGGGTGGCATTGATACAAGGGAAGCGCAAGGTTTTGTTCGAACAACCGTGAAATATATAGTGAAATCTAGCGAATGACTTTCCTCCAGGCACAAGGGTTTAGTGAAATTGACATTGCGTAATGATCTCGAACTTTAGAAATATTAGTTTTAAATCAGCAAGAATAACTCAATAAAGCCTTTTCAGTTTTATTTACTTCTGTCTACATCTAGCTTTTTTCCTGGTTTGGTAAAAAAAAAAAAACAAATAATAAATAAACGCCACAACAGCTAGCAGGAGTTTGAAATTGAGTGCTTGAGCATTAAATATTATCGTGATATATTAGTGATTTAACACCTACAGTGCCTCTTTGTTGTGATCAATGAGAACGAACCAGCGTTGACAATCGGCTCAAAACTGAACCCTTTCTTATGCGACGATGAGTATGAACAAATGGGTCGCTTAAAGAGCGATGCACAACCGATTATGTATACGTCCATATTTTCTGCCGGAGTTCCCGTGATCTTGCTTCTCCTGACAAGGTCCTTCAAGGAGTTCGAGGAGGCAAGTGGCAGCTCAAATACCCTCGGATTTTTCTGGACAAATTATGTCGAAAATTCCTTTTGTTTTGTATTGCTTATTTCAGCCTTCCGAAGAGCGAAAGCTCGGTAAAAACAATTTCCATCTCCGCTGACGACGACTTCTCTCCTTTGAGGTGCATTTTCAGACATCGCAATATGTTTATTTAACAAGCTAACAAGTATAAAAACAGGCTTTACATACAAAAATACAACTAAAAAGACTTAAGTGAGTTATATCCGTGCGATTTAAGGCTAATTTTGTGACATGTCGAGACCATTACAGGATAACGATTTCACAATTATATCGTAGACCTTACGCAAGGAGAGAAGTTAATCGGTATATTTTGTGACATATTTAGTGGTAATGCTAACAAAACCTTCCTCTTCCCTCCTATCTAAAGTCTCTTAATCCATTTCTGATAAAACTACGGCGAAAAATTGTTTATCTCTCTCCAAAATCTTTTTGTGGACGTGAAACAACCTTTCGCCATATGTTTCCTATTAACAACTTGGAATGTTTGCCCCGTGGCGATCCCAGAAATCTTTACACAAACACAAGGATCCGATTACAGGCAACTCATTCACTGAGAGGCTCGTAGCAGACTGTAAAGAATGTAATATCGCGCACCTTTCAATGCCAACCACTGCTGTTTTAAGGGTATTGTTATTATTGTGGAGGTTCAAAGCGGCCTTCTCAGTGCTCCTACACCCTATACACGAAACCTTACACTTACATTACACCAAGCTCTTCTGGTTTCTAACAATGAAGGACGTTATCATAACGGTCTTAGGCTTCTCTACCACCTCTGAGCCTGAACCACAATAGAAGGTCATTCTTTGGCTCCGTAGTCTTTGCAGTTTGTAAGGGTCACCCAGCCATGAGCTCAATACACCAGTTGACCCCAATAGCTCTGGGTGTCACAGAGATTGACTATACACGAGCTTTCCCATCCTGCTGAGATGACATTCATAGAAGCGATTTATCTTCTGTTTAATTTTATTTCCTTGATAGAAAGGCCTTGAGACGAGCTCACCTTCAAGGAATATCATTCGGCTTGGGAGAAGCGTTCAAGTTCTGTGCCACCGGGGCAGCATTTAAATATGGGGGATATCTTGTGTCAAACGGAGAAATGGCCATGGATGAAGTATTGAAGTAAGATATTCGTTATTTGTTGTCCTAGGGCGTAACTAACTATTTCAAATGAAAAGTTTCCGTTTGAAAATTAAATTTAGATAAACCCATAAGAATAACCTGACAGACGGACGACTGGTTACCATTCTTTTTTCCTCTTTTCAGAGTCATAATGTCCATCGTGATTGGCGGTGCAACCTTGGGCCATATCAGCGCTTTGTCTCCAGACTATGAGAAGGCAAAGATGGCTGCTGCTCGTCTCTTTAAAATCTTTGACCGTAAATCTCTTATCGACAGTTCGTCTCAAGTTGGTTTAACTCCGGTAAGAAATTTCTCAGCCAACTTCATGACCACTGATGGGCCTTTTTTACTGATTGTCGTCCCGCATGTTGTGTGGTCCTGTGTTACATTAATATCAATGCCGTTTCTTGTTCTTTTCACGTAGAGTTCTGTGTCGGGAACAATCCAGTTACGCAGCGTACGTTTCCGTTATCCAACTCGACCAGACGTCAAAGTACTACGCGGATTAACGCTGTCAGTTCAGAAAGGACAGAAACTTGCCCTTGTTGGCTCGAGTGGCTGCGGAAAGAGTACAGTTGTTTCCCTCCTGGAGAGATTTTACGATGCTCAGGACGGAGAAGTGGTAAGTTAGCTGCTGTTCGAAGACCAGTCTTAAAGATTATTTCATGTTTTTGGTCGCAGTTCTGTTATTACCCTGACCTCAAGTATGATTGTACTGACTCCCGGAGAGCATTTTGGTTTGTCTGCAATGCATCCAAATCAGAATCAATCACAAGTTAGAAAACTGTCACTGATTCATTGAAGCAAGTGAGTGAAGGAAGAAAAAGCAAAGATAGCGGTGTTGTTGAAGGCCTAAATGTAATAACTGTCTTAAATGTAATTAAATCTTAAATATATCAACATTTGGTCCTAAACGTAATAAGCTTCCAATGCAATCGTTTAACTCCACATTGAGATGTTAAAGTGACAGCTGTTGCACCGGAAATTCCTCTGACCTGTATTCATGTCACATCGCGGGCTCGCTGATATCAATCAGTTTCTTTTCATTTGCCATACTTAAGAATAGAAGCATTTACTGCAAACCGTTATACTGATGAACAATTGGCATCAAATGAAAGCTGGCAAAACAATGAGCGCAGACTCATAACAACAATAGCTTTTGGAAAATTGTGATAACGTTATACTCTTGTGATCAGTGATGGAGTTTACGAGTCATAAACCAAATTACGAACTAGGACAAGGAAGTCCGCTGACTTGTAGTTCGGACAATTTGCAGGCTAGGGTAATATATATTTTTTTCTTTCCTTACCTGAATAGACATTGTTAGCATGCACAGTTTGTTTCCCAATTCGGACCTCGTAACAGCACTCTAGAGAGTTATTTCTTTCAAATTCACGAATATCTTCGTGATTATAAAAATATGGACAGAATAATTTTTCTCCCCAAGAGAACGTAAATAGGACAATTATGTTCTCTTGATCTTGAAATGCATGCAACAAATTCGACAAACGAATAAGGTATTGCACGGTTCTGCATCAAATTATACACTCAATGACTTACATTTCATGAGTGTAAATTGAAAGAAGCTGCTGACCAGCACATCATTACAAATCACCGGTTCAGATTGCCAATCACAAAGAGACGTTTAACAAAAAATCTGGAGCATGTCATCAACAAGTGAACTCATCGACGATTGCATGCACGAGCCCATCTAGGAGACTGACTTAAGGTCGTCGACCTACGTCTCTAGCAAATGAAAAGACGCTGATTAATATCAGCGAGCCTGCAATATGCCACGAATGTTGGTCAGATTCTTTGGTGCAACAGCTGTCACTTAAACATCTCAATGCAGATTCCCGCTATAACAACAATGCACTAGCGCAGTTTAACGATTGCATTAGAGGCTTATTACATTTAGTTCGTCATAAGTGGTGTTAAAATTGAGAATTCACTGATCCGGCAAAGAGGCAGTAATTAATCGCAAAATAATCTTGCATGAACTGTAGTGGACGAAAATACTACCTGAAATTGTGATTGAAAGTCTTGGTAAGTTTAGTGAGTCAATAAAGACAAACGGATGGCTACTGTTTTACTACTAATTTGAAGGCTACAATTCTTTCCTTTTGTTCCTCAGGCTATCGACGGTAACGATGTCCGCACTCTGAACATTCAGTGGCTGCGCTCCCATATTGGTATCGTGTCACAGGAGCCCATTTTGTTTGGCTTCAGCATCGCTGATAATATTGCTTATGGTGACAACTCCCGTCAAGTCAGCCAGGATGAAATAGAAGCAGCGGCTAAATCAGCAAATATACACAGCTTCATTAATTCTCTCCCCAATGTAAGAAACATTTAAGGCTTTCTTATCTAGATTTTCACAATCATAGACCCAGAACCTTTTTAAAGTCATATGATCGCCGGACATTTTACTGAAATGGTTTATTACTCCCAATGAGCATATTACAACTTGAGCAAGTGTTGCAGTTGTTAAAAAGCCGATTCTCATAAGTCCTTCCCCACATAATCTCCAGACTTCAGGACAAGACGAGGCAAGTTTCGATTTCGGCATTTTTTTAAATCTAGAGGCTCAGAAGTGCTCTTTAAGCATTTTCCGTGGCATTTTTCTTCAGAAAAGTCAATCTTGGGAATTGCCTCGTCTTGCCTCATGCTAGCTACGGCCCTGATCTCAGCATAGCTGTGTTTTTCCGCATGTAGGGTTATAACACTCTGGTAGGAGACAAGGGGACTCTCATCTCAGGAGGGCAGAAACAGAGGATAGCTATTGCCAGGGCACTAGTTCGTAATCCGCAAATTCTGCTTCTTGACGAGGCTACCTCTGCGTTGGACACGGAGAGTGAAAAGGTCAGTCAACCGAATATATTGTGTTTCTTAACGTGGATATTTACAGCGTTGAGGTATAGTGTTACAAACAAAATTTAGTTTAAACGACTGTGAATATATGAAAGTCATATATTTGTACTGCGGATAAAGACGCGAATATGAAAACGATCTTCGCAGTAATGAACGCGACTTGAGCAGTGGTGAAAATCAGGGCTGTACGGGATTTGAACCCATGACCTCTGCGATACCGGTGCAGCGCTCTACTAACTGAGCTAACAAGCCAACTGGGAACTGGTCATTGTGTTGGTTCCAAATAAACCCGTGAAGTGGTGAATAAATGACTGTGAATATATGAAAGTCATATTTGAATTGCGGATAAAGACGTGACTATGAAAGAGATCTTCGCAGTAATGAACACTACCTGAGCAGTTAGTGAAAATAAGGCCTGTTAGCTCAGTTGGTAGAGCTAATAGGTAGATTATAGCTTGACCGAAACGATCATAGTTAACCGAAACAGACATAATGCCTAGGTACGTTACACAAAACAAAAGGGAATTGATAGTCACGCTATCACAATTCGAAAAAGCCTTCGTAACAAGTAGTTTTTGGTATTTTAAAGTTTAAAGTCGTCGTACAATACTTACAATACTATTCGCAATCCATCACTTTAGCACCATAAAAGAACACCGACAAATTGTGAAATGTGTGGGATACTATGTCAATCTGTAATGAGCTTTTTACGAAAAACTTAAAGAACTTACTCGATAATACCTAAACCCATGCATTTATTGCTTTAAATTGTACAATAAGTTATTATTACCACTATTTTACAACATTTACTTTAATACATTTCTACTATGAATTACAATAACATTAAGGGTATAGCGAACACGAAGTGGCGAAGAAGACAAAAGAGTAAGGACACATTCATTGTTACAATGATGCAGCACTTTGGATAATTTGTAGTCAATTGCTGAAAGGTTTTTCCTATGAAATGTACCTTTTTGCTCTATTTGGTATGTTACCTTCCTCAAAAAACAAAGGTGGATGGTAACTTTTCCAAAAATTTACATTGATAACAGCTAATGATATAAGATGATTAATGAAGCTTTAACTTCAAATATCTTTAAGGGGGCGACTCCAGTATTATAAAGTTAATGATAATTTATTGGTGAAATGAATTATCATACATAATTATTCATATCATCATTCAGAATTCGTAGTACTGGTAATATTGCAAGTGTTTTTTTTGGTACTCTGTAGGTTGTGCAACAAGCTCTGGATGCTGCAAGTGAAGGTCGCACAGCTATCATCATTGCACATCGACTGTCCACAGTGCAGAACGCAGACATTATTGCAGTGATTCATCACGGGCGCGTGGTAGAGCGAGGCACTCATCAAGAGCTGTTGAACCTTGAAGGAGTTTACCACAGTCTTGTTACGGCGCAAATGCAGAACAAATAATTAACTCAGCGTTTCTCTAAAAGCTAAAAAGAGGGCAGATATAGTTCCTGACAATACCAAGAGAAAACGAAATTATATCAAATGATTAGCCATTGTAAAACTAATTCGGGCCAACAAATCTATGTATTTAAGTTTGCGAGTCAAACTTCGAGGTTCATACCAGTAAAAAACTATAAGCTGGGATCTTTTTTTATACTCTTATGAAAATAATTATACCGCATTACATATTTTTATTCGTCTACGACCAGCAAGCGTTTCAGCACTTTACCTGTCGCTGGAAACCAGTACTAAATTCCTGTTTAAACATTGTACACAGTAATCATTAAAGCTGAGAGGAAGTTCACAATAACATAATGACTTGCGTTTGGCTCTCGAAGGGTATTTTTAATTCTCTCTTCTCATGCAAGCCACTTGTCGTTGAGCCAAACAATCAAATTAAAGCGTCTATCAAACTACGGTTAAAGCTGCTCTGCGAAAAAATGTGAATTGGCGATGATGCAAATATAAATTTCGGGATAGCCCGGTGTAGTTTTAACTTCACGTGCAAAATTGATTGAAATTCATTCTGTTACAAGGGATCGTTTGTTCGATTAGCTAACGTTATCTTTATTCTCTTAATCCCGTGCCTGACCGTCTACATCACTAATGAAGGAAAATGAATTGAAGAATCGACAATCGTGCAGTGCGGTGGCGCTAAGGCTCAAGATGGAAAAATGCGTTGAATCATAATTACAAAAACAACAATGGGCGTAATTATCAATTTACAAAATTCTCATTTATTGACTTGGTCCTTACCGACAGAAGAAATCTTTCAGGTGAACGGACAAAATCGGCCCATGGAAAAGCTTCCAGTTGTCAATTTTCGTTCTCAGCCACGAGAAACGCCATTACCAAAGTCACTGAATACGTAACTTTCGGTTCTTTTTGTATATTTGTTTTCTTCCCCTTCTAGGAAAGTTTGAACGTCACTGTCTTTGCGCGGTTCGGCTTTTTAAATGTTTTTAGCTGCCATAATCCGAGAGAGTTCCGACAAATTACCTTGTATTGAGAATCGTGAAGGCTTTGCCGTTCATTCATCAACCTGACCGAGTGGCGCGAAAGGCGAGTGACGTGTCAATAGCTGACTGGCGATATCAAACACACATGGAAAAAAATATCGTATTTTTTCATTCATGTGTGATGTTACGGCTTTTCTCAGGGCTAGAAATATTTGTACAACATCCTTGTTCATATGATGGCAGACATTATCTGGCCTTAGAGATGTTATACAATTGTATTCTTTTTCTGAGAGGTCTTTTTCTTTTTTCGTCGAGTGGTTTATTAGGATATAGTAGTGGTTCATCAGGACAGCAGGGCATCATTAAGACATATATTGATTCAATTCTGATATATCATGAGGCAGATATATCAATCTTTTATCTAAGTCAGGTTTGCCTTAAGTGATCTGCCTTAATCAAATTCAATCGAACCAGTTTTGCCTTGCACCTGCCAGCAATGTTGTGCTAGGATCTGACGAGACACAGCTCGTCTATGAATTGACTAACATCCAGCTTAAGTAAGAAGTCATTCACAGTCAAGAACTCGCCGATGAGAACTTGTCTAACAATAAAAATAGATAGAGATTCATGTAAGAGCACGCCACTCTCAGTAAATAAGAGATCGGACACGATCATCAATGAGAGCATCAATGTTCCAAGGAGGTCAATAAAGGGACTTCTTCTTTTTTACGAGTCATGTGTCGTTGGTACTAGAGTCAGTGAGAAGACATTTGATCCCGACATCACTGAAGTAAAGGTGATTGTCAAAGGAATCCCAAATAAGGTTTACAGTTAGGGAATGGAGACAAGAGATATGTGGGAAGGGGTCTTCAGAAGATTTGGAAAGGAAATCAGGGCGATGAATGCAATAGACTTTTCTGCCGGAGATAGACTCGCTCTATTCATCGATCTCAGGATTATGAGAGACAATGATCTCTATGGAAGAGATTGAGATTGGTGAATACGAAAGAAGGAGTTCAGCTCGCAATTAACAGGAAAGCGTCGGGCTCAGGGAATGCTAAATGTCACATCTTCATCCTCTCAGATGCTCAGCTTAACATCAACAGAGAGCTTGAAAGCGTGACCTATTAATAAGGTAAATTCCTATTTATAAAGCCAAATGTTTTATCATCTCCCTCAAAATAATTTCGAATTCACTACACACCTACCTGCTTATAGGCTCAAAATTATCTGTTGCAACAGATAAGATTTTCAAACTGTTTGAAAAAAAGGATTTGAAAGATTTGTAGCGCTCCAAAAGAAAGGCTCGAATGAAATTTTTCTTTTTCAGTTAATGCCTCATGTATTCTTCAAGATTCTGAACGTCATATTTTATTCTTATAAAGGTCACACAATATAATTTATATTTATAATTCTTCATCTCATCTCTTCTCCTCTGGCTCTCGAATTGCATTTATGTTTTATGAAATGGGTTTGGATATTCATTATGTTGAATGCCGTCAAATTCAAAAGCTAAATTTAGTGTATCACAAACGCTATCTAATTCAAGCAAAAATCCTGTCTGATGATTTATGAGCCATGAGGGCCTGACATTAGGAAATTTCTCATTGAAAATATTCTCAAAGATTTTACAAAATCTTTCCTCGTTAACAAATTTTTTTGTCATTTCTTTTATGTTTAAACATAGATAAATGGCAGACGTTTCCCAAATGTCAGAACAGATGAAAAGCATGAAAATGTTTAAAATAAGAAACATGGCAAAAGAAGCAGGCATCAGAGGTCATACAATTGTGAAAAAACCGAAACTGATCTCATTGAATTCATGTATAATAGCAAAGAGAGTAAAAAATCGCCAAGTCATCGTACCTAGGAGGGCCATTATGAAAACTACTGGGTGACCAGTAATCAATGTCTTTACCCTCGTTAAATAAAGTTATTATTATTATTATTATTAGTACCTTTCTTTGTTTGGCGAGAGATAAAAAAATAAAAAGCTACTCGCTACTCACAAATTCCGAGCTAAAAAAATTGCTTGGTTCTGAGATTGAGGAAAAGAAACGCATATCAAACCCTTAAATTTGCGCAAAAAATGATGAAAGGTTTGAATTAAAACTCAGAAGGAAGCCCTGGATTTTTTCAGAGTCAGTGAAATAAACTTGCAAAAGCGATTAAAAATACAAAAATCATTGGTAATGGGGATGAATAAAAATTTGAAAGATGATAACTTTTTTTAAAATTTTTGTCAATAAAATGGAGAACAAAAAGGTTCCAGAATTAAGAGCTGAGGCAAAACGGCTCGGATCTAAAAGAAGTTCACGATTGAGAAAGCAGCATAAAAGACAAGTCGGTTGACGCAAAGAGTTCAACGACTTATTTAAGACCGGTTGGCCTGAAGGAAAAGAGTCTCGACGGCTCAAAGAATGTGAGATATCTTTATGTCACTGGTGAGCTGGAAGGTGGCCAGAGGCGAGCCACAGATCCCGTGTGGTCTCCCGTGTGGTCTTCAATATCGAAAAATCACTTGTGAATTAAGGTGAGCCTGTACTCTACTATCTGAAAGATGGACCAAAGCGTGGTTTCGTTAGAGAAGAGCTTCAGATTGGTCCACCTGGAACTGAGTTGTCTCCTGAAGGAATTCGTTGATTTGAAAATAAAAAAAAAATGAGTTTCTTAATAGCCTCAAGCAATCCTGATGAATCAATTCAAGAAACTGGTAAAGATATGAACAATAAAAGATCGTCACTCTTGCTAATCCAACTGAACACCAAGACGCAGTGACCAAGGAGCATGTTGATGAAAAAACAGAAACAATTGATTTATTCTCTTTTTTTTGTCAAAATATGCTGCCAGGAGTCTCTTTATTGAGACATTCATCAAAGAAAAAGCAACATGCTGGTATCACACAGATCCAAGTCAAACAGTGAAGAACTTCATCAGAATAAATTTTATGCCATCGCTCTCGATCAATCAGGATTGTACTACCGTGCACCACGAAAAAAATAAAATTTCACTCATGCCGAGAATATCCACTTCGAAAAATGATGGAAGACACTGTTTCTTTTTTGATGAAAATAAGCATTTTTATCTTCTTTTTATTAATAATCTTAAAAACTTAACTGTCGTCACTGTTATCAAGATATATAAGAGAAGTTTAAATGGAACAACAATATATACAAGAAACTGTTTGATTGGAAATGGATTAATTCAAAACTTTTTGCTTTCTCTTGAAAAATATAGAGAAGTTGTCATTAGTGGAACAATACCAAAATCAGAACCAGATGTACCAATCACTGTTGTTGGAGAAAACGCAAAATCATTCATTTTACAGAGAAATTCAGACTTAAAATTTGTTTCTAATGATGTGAAACCTTCAACAAGATTCAAGAGAAAAGCAAACTCAACAGAAGGAGGAAAGTTGTCTGCTGTCACTGGAATATAGATAGTAATAGCGATTCTATAATTCATTCTTCTTCTCTCTGGTGTAATGGGAAAAAGCTTATCAACTTTAGTGCAAGAGGAATTAGTTGTAATAATTATGTATGGGGAAATTTTTCAAAACAAGATGGAGATGATTTTCATGAAGGTTTAACCTCAGACTGTCACACTCTTTTCGTTTCAAAGAAACTCTTACGACGGAAGAACAAATCAGGGCACTCCACGACTTCTTCTTGCGAAGGTACAACATTTCTGCCGATCCTGTTGTATGAAACCATGAAGCATGCTTACATGTGCAAAGACTTTGAATTTCTCATGTGATTTTGTTAAATTCAGGTGTAATGATAAGTGATAATAATGCTACACGCATGAAATCTCCCCACAAAAGATAAACATCCCGATTACGTGACAAGAGAATCGTTCAAGAGAATATTATTCACACTCTCTTCAGAACTCACGAGTTGAGACATAGCAGATGATTCAAGTTGTCTTGAAATCAAGTTGTCTTGAAATCAAGGTTGACTTGAATATGTGCACAAAACTGTTTTTCGGAAATCAAGGTTGATTTCAAGGTTGACTTGAGATCGAGGTAAAATTTCATAGGTTGCTTTGAAATCATTGTTGTTTTCAAAATGTGCCAGAATTCCCCTTTTATATCTACTAGTTTCAACGTTCCTGCTGGACATTTGTCTATGATTTTCTACGAGATTTTCAAAATCATTCGTCGAAGCTATTGTATCATTTCATTTAAATTGTCCACTCAGACGCCAAGTGCTTTCATGAAGTTGGATCTCAAACAAGAAATCTCAAAACCGTTTTTATGAAAAGATTCGATGTACATTCTCTCATGAGCTTATTTTAATTGTGAGAACGAAAGCAGCGCATAACGTCAATAAAATAACTGCTGGGAAGTTTTCCGATAATATATAATATTGAATTCTTCATTCAGCTGCTTAAAATAACAAGAATTCATTCTTCTATATTTTCGAAATTCAAACGCAAAGCCTTGAATCGTTCAGTGATTGGCGAAATTTAGCCGGTATATTTGTAATAACTGCATGAATAAATTAAGACCTAATTGACTAAAGGACGATTCGAATTTAACCGAAAATTGATTAAACAAGTTCAATTAAAGGATAATAGTGACATGTTATGTCAAATTTTAAACCGCGCCAAGCGGGTTGGAGACTCAATTGACGTGAAAGTAAATCGAGTGTGAAGTGCTATCCACAGTCATACGAAAAATTAACGGCAAAGAATCTTTAGAATATTTGACTCTTTACCGCAGGCTTGATGTCAACAGTTCAAGATAATCCCCCTATTTATTCACTTCTTGCCGCTATTTCTTGCACGGTTTTTTAAGGCCTCTCCAATTTGTCCTCGTTTGTCTGACCGACTAATTAGGAATTTCACTACTTTGCTTTTGAGAAGCGTCTCGTAAGAAAGCTATTAGACATAGAAAGGAAATAAAACCCTCACAGCTTCGACGTCCTTTTTTATACGTTCAGTGAAAGGAAGATTCTCTTATAGCTTAATGTTCTGTTAAAGCCGCGAAGATTAAAGAAAAGTACCATGATTAATCAAAATTATGTCGAAAATGCAGGATTTGGCAATTCAGAATCAATTTTGTATTACTCAGCGGGCACAAAATGAAAGTTAAAAGCGAGTACGTGTGTTTTTCGACAGCGTACGCTTTGTTCTCGAAGGTGTAAATTATACGGCAACAGCTGCCCTCAAAAGAATGATGGACGTCATTTCCTTCGTCTGCCCCTTTCACAACCTCCTTTGGAAACACTTGCATTCAGTCTACGTATGAGTTTTCCATATCAACGGAAGGGAAAAATCATCGACTAGGCTTTTAAAGGAGAAACACTTGGTTCAATCAAAATAATATACACTATCGGCAAGCGTTATTTAATGTACGTCATCTTCCTTTGGTCGTGTACAATGCAAAATATATATGCGGTCTCTTCACTTTCAAAGCACTTTTCAGGGAAATTCATAATGCATGTTTGAACTGATACATAGTCCGTGAAGCTTCAGAAGTTCGTGTCGAGATTCTCTACCTGTAAGACGGAATCAACGTAAATTCTTCTTTGAAATTCCAACCATGTTTCAATTTCCTGGCTTTCTCGTTTGACGCCGGAAGGTTTTATTCATCAAATGAGAGTCACTGTGGATCACCATCAACCTGTTATAGTTTTCAAATTTATATCCCTATACTTAGGAAAGAGGTCTTTCTGTCGATAGATCCCTTTACTTAAGGCGAGTTCTTAACAATTCCTGATAAGTATTAGATTGCAAATGTTTCTAAAAAACTATATTTAAATGGAAAGCGAGACATCGCAGACGGCGAATTTGATTTCCTTTCAATTTAAAAGGCTCCTGTAGAGATCGCACGGGTAAGAAAACGCAAGACGTTTACATTTTTAAGTCAGGCATAGTGGAAATCTCTTGGAATAGAGGGTCTGAAAGGCATCAAACAGCACTCATCAGTGAGCTTATCAACAATGAAGAACCCATCGATAAACATGAAAGTTACATCTGCCCACAGACGCCCACCGAGAGAACAAAGGATAGGGAAATATAAAAAAAGAATTAACCTAAAAAGAATTTTTCCCTTCTATTTCGTCTTCGCTACTGGACGCTAGGATCGGACATTTTCTTCCAGTGCTTCTTTTAGCTCATACTGAGTTCTTAAACGAGTACTGCTTTTTTCTTCTAAGTTATGCATTCACGAATAGGAAGTTTGGCACATATCGCGTATTACATTTTCTCAACGGAAGCCAAGTGTTTACACCTGTTTTCTCTCCATCAAGCATATAAATGAAAAACGAGGACAACTAAAATTAATTGTTAACTTAAATTATACACAGAAATCGTAATGAAAGGCCTCTCCTGTCACTTGAAACGTACACCAATTCCTTAATATTCCCGGATACGCCATTAAACAATCATTAAACCCCTTTTGCTATCACGGTTTCAGCTTGGTGTTAACTTTTAATGATTTTGAATAAGATCAATGGTTCTTTATTGGTTTTTTAAATTTTCTTTAGATAGTGGGTTTTAGATAGAAACAAAATAGAGGCTCAGAGATCTTTGATCACTATATCAGTCTTACAGTGTCCAAAGTTTATCAGTTAAGATTTATGAATTGCTAGATATTAGTTGGTTATCGCCAAACAGTCACCACGCGTAATTCATATCGAAATTTAATTCACCGTTGTACCTTTTTAAAAACATCTGGCGTGTGTTTCACGCATAAATTTAAGTCTTTTAATGAAGATATAAGTAGCATTCGAATGGAACGATATGTCAGTACAGCCAGCCCTTTAGTCGAAAAGGAGTTCGCCAGCATTCTGAGGACAGTATATTGAATGTTAAAGGTACGTGAGGCATGTTCCTCTTTCAGTTAAAGAATTCACGAGAACTTAATGCCTTAATGTCTTTAAACACTTTTCAAAGTTAACACGTAAGTTTGAATCATAACATTCATACATCGTTTAATTTGGTATTTATCAGAAACATAAACAAAACAAACGCAATTGCAACCCAGTCCAATATATATTTCTAAAGGTCTTCCCATACCATAAATTGTGGAAGCGAGCCGACCAAAATTTCCATTTGAAGGCTTCGGAGAGCAAACCGAATAGTATTGCACTTCTGTTTATTTTGCAGATGAACTCAGTAACGTTGTCAGTCGTTGTGTTGACAGTAACTGCTCTACTTGTGATGTTATCGACTCCTGCTGCCGCTGATTGTCGGTATTGCTATAATCAAAAAAAAATATGTTTTACTACTTGTATCACCCAGACGTGTTTGGACAACTGCGACATTGGATATAATAGTTGTCTTCAAAGGTCATCTTGCCGACGATTTCTTCTTCGAGACGTTCTTAAAGAAAATTATAAAAATCAACCACAGTTACATTACGAAACATTGTTTTAGTCGGTAAACTAAGTATTTAATTTTAACGAAACAACAGAAAACGGGGATGAGGATGAGATTCCTGTAAAATGAAGATGGAACACCGATCGAGATCCGTTTAAAGCATTACTTAGGGTAATACTTAATTTCTATACGTTTTTCGTGTAAAAGTTCCCATAATGCAATTCATTAAACCAGGATAATTATAACAAATCATTTTATGAGAATTTGTTCTTGGTGGATAACACCCACACATTCGACTGTAACTCAAGTAGCTCGCAGCATTGGTGAAGGATAGAACTGAAGTAGACTAATGATATTTCTGGCGATCTGTTGCCAATTCGTTTATCTGGCCTGAGCTTATCCCGGTTTCCATAGCATGAAACGACTAGAAGCATTACTACTCCCCCCTGGATGAGATACTGGTCCATCTCAAGGATACCCCCACCTCCTCGATATTTCCGCAGGCTTTCCCGACAATTCACTGCATGGTACCCCCTATATACTCCTGGTTAAGGCGCTGTGAAAATAAAGTGTTTTGCAGGAGACACAGTAACCCGGTGGAGAGTGCTTTGGACTGACCGGTCTTTAGGGTTTGTAGGTAGTCTTAGTAGTTTTGTTTGGTAAGGATCGGACATTGAGGGACCACGGGGAGCGTATTTGAAGCGTGTTGGTTTTGGAAATAAGATTAATAAAAAATCTTCTAAAATTCTAGTTCACGCTGCAAAGTAATTCTTAAACAATTTTTTTTACGTCCAAATTTCAACTAACATAGTCAGAGGAAGAGGCTGATTGAAATAACCGAGAAAGAAGGAACTGACGATAGTGTATGCCTAAACTTTTCGATTTGCTATCAGCAAAGAGGTTCCTACTTAAGAAATTCCCTTAAATTTCATGTCGGAATCCTCGCAAGATGTAAATTTTTTTTGAATACTCTATCCATTTTTCTACCGTTATGCTGAATTATTGAAAATTCTTTAAGTTATGTAATTAGTCTTTGAGACAAAGTAGTTGACTTACTATCTAGAATAAGGTGAAAGTAGCCGAACTGTCAAGCTAACTCCTCAAGTATTACTGAAATATTTAACCAACGGATCACATCAAACTACGTTTATCAAATCTTGTTTTCAAGATATTCTCTTTCGTGATGTTTACCTTGTAAAAAAATTGGCTTTCTTCCTTGGTTTTGTATCATCCCTAGTCGAAATATGACAAAACTAAATTAAGACCAACATGAAGCAATAAAAAATTTTTAGGAACATGCTGGCAGAACATGAACATGAACAAAGAGATCTTCTAAGAAGATAGAGGTCGAAAATTGTCACACCACAAGAAAATGAAAGAAAAGACGGAAGAGTGAGGAGCATCCCCGAACAACCATCTTGCCCATGATTTAACAAAGTGCGTGCTCTTGGGACTACTACATTTCCTAATTATAAATTCCGTGCTGAAGGTGAAAAGTAAAAATCATTTTCGTGCACAGTCACCTCGAGAGAGGGTGTCGGTTTTAATGTAGAGTGGCCCCGAAAGGAAGAGTTAATTGCACTAATACTACAAATGGAGGAACTCTTTTCTGACTCCTCCTTGTTTATTGAGAACTGACAGACAACTCAAGACAAAAAGAGAAAATACGAGCGGAAGAATAAGAGTAAATGGGAGCAGTGACCAAAAAAAATTCGGGCTCATTCTAGGATTAGGCGATTTTCGTGAACTGGAAATGATCAGGAAAAGAAGCAAGGTGTTCACAGGAAGTTTCTGCTCGGAAATCAACCTAAGTCAATAGCAATTGAATACTTCATTGATTAAGGGATTATTTCTGTTCTCATAAAATAGGAATTTTAACACTTCCTTATAAGAAGCTAGGTGCTATGGTAAATGAACATGTACTCTGTACCTAATTCTCCACGAGAAGTAGAATGAGTTGATCATGGCTACTAACAGCAAACAGTGAGTATTATAGGATCTGGAAAAACTATTTCTTATTTCATGGAAAGAGATAATCCACATATATCCTGACATTTTACTAAGTATAGCAGGGCTGGAAAAAGTCCCGTCAAAAATGAGTTTAGTCCAGTCAAATCCATCGGTCAACCATTTCGTGGCAACTGCTCAAAATTCAATTTGGCCCATGTTCTCAGGTTAGGTAGACCTTAACGTAAAGCAAAACGCTGCATAGTTCGTTTGGTTAAATATCGATTCGTTTTCGAGAAAATCGATAACAACCGAATCCTGAGAATTTGCCACATTTTGAGCTTACAATTTAGGGTGAAAAAGAAGGCTTTGCGTAACGAAATAACACACTTTAGAGAAATGAAATCTACTAAATCTTTTAGAATGATGCCAAAATATGTGTGAAAAAGAATTTGAGCAATTCCATTCCATTTACTTTGAAAATATAATTACATTCCTCGAACCCTCTTTTATCAAGATGAAAACTTACCAAAAAATAACCTTTAATCTAAGCATGTGGTACTAAATGAAATACGTCGAAAAATCTGCATTTCAAAAGCCGAGTAATCGTTCTTTTACATGTCCAAAGGATTTTTCGGGGAAATGATTTAACGCAAAGAAATTGAATTTTAAAGTTGGATAAAATGCCCTGTTTTAACCGACCTTCCAATTTATGAAATAACACACAGAAATACAATTGTTTCAAAGATAGCATTCAATCAAAAGTGGGATTGACGTAAAAACTTAATGTTCGAAAATTGTAACTAACGATTCCCACCACTAGTTCTAAACATGTAGCTCCGGTTGTTCTGTATCAAAGCATTGACCTTAGAAAGTGTAGGCGAAATCAGCTCGGAATGGTTCCCGAATCGTTCCAATTGGCAGATACAACTGGTGTTCATCGACAAGTGCCAGTCCTCCTCTAACTTAAGTTTTCGTCAGGACAAGACGTTTATGACTTCTTTTCATTCTGACAGTTTCTACAAGAAGAATATTATTAGCCACTGTTTGGACTTACAAAATGAGAACAGTTTGCTCTCTGTCCAAGAGGCGTTTCAATTCGAAGGATTTAGCGATAAAATAGGGCGTGGTTGATCACGTGATGTGATTAAAAATAATTTTAAACGTAAATTGGAAGATTTATCATGATTGGCATTAAATTGTAAGTCAGGGGATAGCTTGAAAATATTTTATATTAGACCACCCCCCTTTTAAATTTCTGAGAAATCTTAAAATCTCCTTGAAGATGGACAAGATTCTCCCTTTGTGGGCGTGGCTGTGATTCCTTATCTCTCCACAGAATTAACTGATTTATGTCAACTAATTATATTTCCTATTACACTTTTCCTTATGTTGGCTCTTCCCTGGCTTCTATCGTAAAAAGCTACCAGGTTCGTCATTCCTAAAAGAGAGTCTAAAAAAGTCTTTAGACGACACACATAAGGCCAAACAGAGTCATCAATTTCATTTTACCTAAAGAAAGACATTTTCGGCATCACTGACTGTTTCGTAGGTTAATCTCTACATATTCTGCTCAGCTTTACTCGTTTTACAGCTAAACCTGGCCACAACGCCTTCAATAATTTCCACAAAGGCTGCTTGCGCTTGCCAGTCATAGATGCTAATGCTTTCGTTACTTCCTTAGACAATTCTTCCATTACCTTCTCTGTTATCAGCTCATTCCTTTCTAGTTATGCTCCCTCGTTGGATTGATGTACGCTATATGTTTTCTTTGCTGACAAGCGGGAAAAAAATCCTGCTATTTGTTGTGGGTGAGATAGTCGTTCTTGTCGAGGATATTGAAGCCGTCACTATGCTTTACTTTATGCATTGCCTTTGAGACGCTCGTTGGATCTGCTCTTTTCTCAGTGTTTTCTCCAACTTGAAAGACCTCAATTTCTCAATTTATTGAACAGGGGTCAACTACAAAAACCAATCATTCGCTCCAGTCCCCTCACGGTTATCTTTCCTTTCGAGTTATATTTTAGAGAGTATAGATCAAAACATGTCAAAATCCCATGTGAACATGAAACTGTCTTTTACATTACGGAAGCCGATAGCAGAGCTTTTTCCGCAGTACTAGTTTCCTGTAAATGGCCCCAGCGAAAATCCGCGGGAACCAGCCAAATGTTTTACGCATTTTGAGACTAGTCACCAGTTCCTTCTAACTTTAAAGAGACAAACAAATTGAATAGGGAGAACCTGCATGTTGGTGTTGCCTGATACTTAACAGAATGACAGAAGGCAAGCTGACTATAAACATCCTAATGTGGATCAAAGCTCACCAGATTCAATTTTTCCGTCTGCATTAATACAATGTCGTCAATAGAACGAGGATTCGAACTTACAATGGCTGTCGACTCTTTTTCTTCTACTATAAGCAACCTGGGGGTTTTTCGACAAAATGGGCAAATACCTGAGAAAATTAAAGTCAAGGCTTAAAATCAATTTTCTTTAGGAAACGAAGAGGAGTCAGTAGGGTGAAACCAAGTTTGCAAAATGCAAACTTACCTGAGCCTATTTGAAGAAACACTCCAGTTTTCTTTAAAATTATTTATAAATCAATTTTCCTGATTCCTCTGTCGCATTTCGGCCACTTTTTGCCTCTTTTGACGTGATTGGATAATGCCTCTGGCACTCTACACCTCGCAGTAGATCCCCGCCTCCAGTCCAGTCGCTTTTCGCGATGTAATGGATGAATGGTCATAGAATTTATGTTTGCAGGTTTAGTAAATGCTGCCGCTCGGCTGAGGATAAGGTCAACTTCGTTCTCTGCACCGGAAAATCTTAGGCTTGCTGTATGGTTGGAAATTGGTTTTGAATTGGCTTGTTAAGGGATAATTTGTGCTTCTTTTTTCCTATCTCTGGTGTCAAATCCACACAATTCTCCTACGACAGACTTAAAAGAACCGCACACCTCCATATTCACTCAATGACACGAATCGAAACTAGCTGTGTTTACGAACGTTTCACTAAACCTGTTTCAAATTGACGACTCCACTTTTAGACTACAAACAAATTGTGCAGTTCGCTCAAAAAAGACGAAAATTGACACCTGTTTTAAATCAGCACCGACATTCTTAATTAAATTCATTCGAGTAAAAATGATAGCGACAACGTTTTTATCATTTCACAAGGTTTCCCTGGGGCAACGCTGCGAAACTTTTTTGGTTTCCTCAGTTAATGATTTTTCTACAACGATCACAACAAAAGCTATAAACGCCCGAAGCATGCAAAACAAACGATACCACCGCTATGTAGTGGGAATGATTTTGCACGATTAGTTCACGAACCAAACGAGACCTTCAGGAAAACAGTTTCCTTCATCATTGATTTGAAGACAAAAAGGTAAGATTCTATGCAATGATGTGTAGAC